TAGATTCCTTTTTACAGATAGCTTTTATTGCAGACTGTGGAACATCTGTCCATTCAGTGTCATTGGTGTGTTGTCGGGACAATAGATCTGCGTCTATGTTGTGACGACCAGGACGATATTGGATGTTGAAATCGTACGTGGCTAAAGCTGCAAGCCAACGATGTCCAACAGCATTTAGCTTTGCGGTGGTCAACACGTAGGTTAGGGGATTGTTGTCGGTTCTAACCGTGAACTTAGCTCCATAAAGATAGTCATGAAATTTATCCACGACCGCCCACTTAAGTGCTAAGAACTCCAGTTGATGGACCGGATAGTTTCGTTCTGACTCACTGATCTTTCGGCTAGCAAAAGCAACAGGCTTAAGGCCCTCGGGGTACTCTTGATTGAGCACGGTACCTAACCCGTTCAGGCTAGCATCCACATGTAGGACATAAGGTTTAGTGGAGTCTGCAAATGCCAAAACAGGGGCATTGGTCAGACATTCAATGATTTTTCTGAATGCGGCTTGACAGGAGTGGTCCCATCGCTCTTTGAATGGCTCAGTAGGTTTGAGGTACGTTTTGGTTGGGTATTTGGTTTGAGATCGCTTGTTTTTCTGAGTAGGTGGATAACCTTTGGTAAGCTCAGTTAATGGGCGGACTATGCTTGAATAATTTGCAATAAATCTGCGATAATACCCACAGAAACCAAGGAATGAGCGAAGGGTTTTCAGATCTGTTGGCTCTGGCCAGTTCCTGACAACCTCTACTTTTTCTGGATCCGTGGCTATACCATCTTTTGAGACAATATGACCAACATATTTGACTTGGGACTGACAGAACTGACATTTGTCAAGTGACAATTTCAGACCAAACTCCTCAAGGCGATCTAAGACTTTGAGGAGACGTTGCTCATGCTCTTCGAGTGTTCTACCAAAGACGATTATGTCGTCAAGGTACACTAGGACTTGAAGAAGGTGCATATCACCCACTGCCTTCTCCATGAGCCGCTGAAAAGTGGCTGGGGCTCCTGTGATGCCTTGTGGCATTAGTTCAAATTGATAGAACCCCAGGGGGCAGATAAATGCAGTCTTTTCCTTATCTTGCTCGGACATGGCAATTCGGTAGTACCCACTCCTAAGATCGAGGACTGAGAACCATTTGCTGCCTGTAAGACAATCTAAGGCGTCATCAATACGAGGGATGATATACTGGTCGGGGATAGTACGACTGTTCAAAGTTCTGTAGTCGATGCAGATTCTGATGGAGCCATTCTTTTTTCGCACTACAACAATAGGTGATGCGAATGGGCTTCGAGACTCTTTGATAATGCCTGCAGCTAACAGCTGCTGTAGGTGTTGTCGTACATCATTAATATCAGCCGGAGCTAAACGACGTGAACGCTCTCTGAAGGGGGTAGAGTTGCTAAGGTGGATGTTATGTTCTACGTCTTTAGCTAACCCCACATCCCATTCATCAAGAGAGAAAACATTACATCTCTGCGCTAGCTTTTGCTGTAGTCTTTTCTTCCATTCTGGAGGGGCAGGAGAGTCACCAAAAAGTTCGGGAGCTATGGTACTAGCTTCAGGTTCTAAAACTTTAGGGTCGGTGACTACGTCCACTGCATGCATCTCGGCAATAACTGTGCCGACTTGGATAGAGGTGGGTTTTTCTGACTCATTCTGTAATAGAACGATGAAACTGTTCTCATCCATGTCACTTTCACGGAGAACACCTGGCTGGACCAACATGCCGGATGGGAGTTGGGGCATGGCAGGTGCTTCAACCAAAACAACGTCTTGGGGTTTAGTTCTTTTCTGCTCTACTTTACACGTGGCATAACATTTTTTTCCGGGAGCAATGGTAAGTGGCCCTGGACCTTGCCATTTCACTTGCCCTATGGGATCGTCGGCTGCATGGGATCCTAGGGACTGAGTTTGGATTTTATCATAAACTGCCTGTATCCTCATGGAGCTGACTTTGTTCTCACTACCGCTATCTCTGCACAGCTGAAATAGGCGGCTGAACAGAAAAGCGTTGGTACCAACCACTACAGGGGTTTCATGACCTTGTGGGGGCTCAGGACAGACGAGAGCGAGGACGTTAAGGGGACCCTTGACACCTGCTACATCCTCAGGGAACTCTATCTCTACTACTACATACCCATGGTAGGGATAGGACTCAGCTGATAGGCCCCAGATGGCTAGATTGGAAATGGGCTGTATAGGGACTGTTGGTATGTTGGCTCTATACCAATCCTCAAAGATAATGGTCACTGTTGACCCTGAATCCATAAGACCATGGCATGAGATGTTATTGACCTTAATAGGAGCTATGGATGATGGACCGATAAGACCTTCCGGTATGTTGACACTTTGAGTTGGAACATTGGTAGTATTAACTCGGGC